TGATTTTCTTCAGCCACCTCCCACTCTCGTTCACCCGTAATGTGGTTAATTTTCTCCAAAAACATTTCTAGAAGAAAAAATCACAAGTCTGTGAAAAAGCGTTAAGTAATTCAAAAATGTGAAGGCATGACTGAAGTACATCATAAGAAATGAGACATCCTACTGATGCAAATAGAAATTACGTAAAAATTTTTATCGTAAAACACAAAACCTTAGGCAATCTGATCTAGGACACTTTACAATATGAAAAGAAAGTAACTAGTACTACAAAGAGAAAGAGAGGTGAAGGAAGTTAGCATTGAGCAAAACAGAAAGAAATCTCTTATAAGTCTTACAATTATCACAACAACAGGACTAGAACTAGCAATTGTTCATTCAGACTACAATTACATTAAAAGATACCTGATAAATGAATTTTCCAGGCAGATCTCAAGATTATGAACATATACATAAAAACCATGTGAAAAGCAGTGAAAAATATTTTAAAGATTGAAGATCAACATAATGAAAAACTAACGAGCATTATGCATTTTTCAGTAGTCTATCTCAGAGATCGTGGCTTGAAGATCCTCAAGCGAAATCGTGTCTCTAACATCGGTAACAGTGTTCCACTCTCGTATTGACGAACAGCACAACTTATGGACAGGCCAATCAAACTTCTGGCACTCCACAGAACAATAACATAGCTAAAAAAGAATTAAGAATAATTCCAAAAACAAACGATAGTTCCCAGACCTTGCATTTAGGGCAACGTTTCTTTGCAGTGCATGAGCCACACGTAGCGCAAAATTTACTGGCCATCAAAAGACGTTGACCAAAAAGCCCCTGTACAATGTATTCGAAAGCAGTTGGTCTCTGTCCAAAAGGTGTATTTGACATAGCCTAAAAAGTCTCTTTAGTTATGGTAAATGGTAGAAATACAATAATTCACACCTTCACTAGTGTTTCATATAAGAGCGAATGATGATAGGGAAACGCTTTCAAGGCATTCCGGAGAAGAAGTTCCAAGTTTTTCCTAAAACACACAAGTCTGCAAAACAATTCTTAAGTTTACAGATAACACTTGACCCTAAAAGTTTTCAAAGAATACAGTCATTTTTTGTAATTTACCTGTTTCATCAAGAAAAAATATGAACTTAAAATCACAATCTTTATATAACTTACTGGAAAAATTCCAATCTATTATTAAAATTGATGTAAGAAAGGTGATAATGTTCAGGAAGACTTTTCCAAAGTACGAACATTCGCTTGATTATTGATGCCGTTTTCCTCACCAGTTTAAGATAAAGGAATTTATAAACACCTAACCTCACTTGCTCTCCAGGCTCCCAGGTAAGCAGATGTTTTGCATAGATGATGCAGGAGTCATGGGCTGTC